TATAAATGTAACAATAAGACCCCCCCCCCACTTAATATTTAATTTTATATATTGACGGAAATTTTGGTCGATGTTTAGTAAATTTGTTATCCGAAATTTCTTGTCATAAATTATTTTTTCAATTTTAAAATATGCCTAAAAATATTAACCAATATTGACAATAGCAAAATTCCTAGAAATTGGATTACTTATAGTATTAAAATATATAAAATTTTTTGCTTAACATGTCTCTTATTTGGTGGTCCACACGCAAATTCAAAATGGACATGTGAAGGTCTAGATAAATGGAAAAATATTAATCGTTATATTATTCTGCATAAATCTTCACAGGCACATATTCGATATTAAAATTTATAACACCTCAGAAAGAATGTGTAGATAATAACCGTTCTATTATAAGAATTATAATAAGATGTTTAGATTATTTTATATCTCATAACCAAGCCTTCTGGGGGAACAGGCAACAAGAAGGCAATATGATGGCTCTTATTAAGCTTATTGCAGATTCTGAACCTATACTAAAAATGTATATACAGCAAAATGAAGAAAGAAAAAAGGATAAAAAAAATAAGGGATTAAAAACTAAATTATATTCAAACCTATTATCATATAATAACATAAACATTCTCATTGAAACCATGAAAAATATCGTTATAAAAAAAATTCAAAATGAGATTACATTTAACAGGTGCTTTTCAATCATAGTTGATGGCACATACCAGTGGCGTAGCTACGGGGGTGGTTTTCGGATTTGGACCCCTCCCAGAGCAAAATTTTTTTTTTTAGATTATACGTTCAAAAGACTTAAAAGTGACTTTATATCAAATAAATACCATTAATATTTATATTTTTCTGGATTTGATGTTTGTGGAAGGATATTATATTACTATTGAAATTATTCTGGGTAGTATTATTATAAAGAATAACATATTATTCATGCATTTAAAAAATATATTTATTATATATTGTCGAAGATGTGGTTATGATTTTTAAGATAAACCCGGCCGAAGGCCCGTTAAAAGGGGTCTGGGGACAAAGCCCCCAGGATTTTATATGTATGGACCCCCTCTAAGAAAAATTCCTAGCTACGCCACTGGCACGTACGATGTTTCGAAATCAGAAGCAATAGCTTTGATAGTAAGATATGTTGAAAATAGTGAGACGCCGAAGCCTGTTGAAAGACTGATTGACATATATTGTACGGGAAATACCATAGGTCTCGATATAAAGCATAATATAATATCCAAACTTGGCTCGATGAATTTACCCCTTGAATATCTAGTTGAGCAAAGTTATAATGGCGCCTCAAACATGAGTGGAAGAATCAATGGTGTGCAAGCCTTGATTAGAGCAGAGGCGCCAAAGGCAGCTTTTATTTGGTGTTATTGTCATCGATTAAATTTAATCGTTGTTCAATTATGCCAATCAATTAAAGAACTTCGAAATGTTCTAGGAATATTAGATTAGATTTATGTCTATTTTAATGGTGTAAAAAGATATGAGGTACTCAAAAAATTTCAGTGTAATGATCTGAAAAAATCGCAACGATTTCTACGCCTCAAGAATACCACTCGGTAATAGTTCCTTATTTATTTAAATTTTAAATGTTTTTTTTATTTAGAAGTTGGCTATCGTCATATAAAGCTATTGTAAATTTTTTTCAACTTTATGATTCCTTGAGGGCAGCTTTAACAAATTTAAAGGATTCTGAAGATCCTGACACTTCCACTATGGCTAGTGCTATAGTCTTTAGAATAGAAAAATTTGATTTTATCTTATCACTTTGTGTTTTGGATAAAATATTGTTGAAAACAAGTTTGGCTTGTACAAAATTGCAAATCATTTCGAAGGATATAGGGTATGCAATAAATCAAATTCAATTGGCAAAAGATTGCTTGATTAATTTGAGAAGTATAATATAAATTATTGTCTTAATTATTTTTTAATCTAATAGATAATAACACTGAATTTTTGGATGTTTTTTCAAAGGCGCAAGATTTTATGAAGGAGAGAAATCTACCTTTTGATTTTGAAAGTTCTAAAAGATTTAATGATGATTCCATAAAATTTTTACATCAAACATCATTTTTTACGCCAAAGGGAATGGCAGAAATATCAATTATTAAAGAAGATATCGAGGATATCTGTGAATTTTACAATTTAAATTCAAGTCAAATTTTTGAAGAAATGTTGAAGTTTAGAAATATTTATAAGATGGCCAAAATGGGGAATGTAATTATTACTCATGACCTAGAGGTTCAAGAATCTAAAGATTTGTCAGATTCTGAGAATTGTAAATTTATTTAATTAAAATATTTTTACCAATACATTATTTAGCTTCTTCTGATGATGATGATAATTCAGGGACTTACGATTCAGATTGGAAAAACTATTCATTTATTTTACCTTATCGTTTACTTTTAAAATTTTCTGCTTTCCCTAATTTAAGAATTTAATATTAATATTTATTAACCATTCCCACAACCTCATGTACTGCCGAAAGAGTCATGAGTAAAATTAAATTAATTAAAACAAGACTGCGCAGTACCATGAAAGATTCTTTTCTCAATAATTTAACCATATTATCAATGGAAAAAATTTTATTTAAACAATTAAATACTGATGAAATTATATATTCTTTCGCTTTCTCTTCCCCTAATTTATCTAAATTATTAATTTAAAAATAATATTTATAAAGTTATATTTTTTGCATTTTATTATATTATATATTAAAAATTGATGCAATAAAAATTATTTTTGAAATTTATGGGTGTCATAATTATCATTTTTTCGAAGGGGGGGGATACTTTTCATGGGGGTATTCTGCTTCATTCGCTCAAAAAGTGTAGGGCCACTGATCATGAGGTTCCAAAATTGGGAAGTGATATTTTTTTTTTACATTTATTCCAAATTGCCTTTTTTTAATTATCACAAGTAGTATAAAATTCCCAGATTTTTGCTGAATTTCGTTTTTTATTAGATATTGATGATTCTTCTTGTTCATTATCGCTATTATTATTAGTACCAACAGCATCTATATTTATTAACTCTATTTGGTCTCCATTTATTAAAATATCCTAAATGAATAGATAAATTGATAGATATCATGTAAAAAATTTACTTCCATAATAAAAATAAACTATAATTATAATTATAAATAACAGCAATATTGATATCACAGTAGTATTTGGAAGAAATAACAGATGCAATCAGTTTTTGCAATGAAAGTAAAAAAAATACCACAATATAATTATCCACGATAAACCCAAATAATTATGTTATTTTTAATACTGGTATTGGTATTGGTTAAAATTGTATTTAAACAATATATCAAAACCAATATATTTAGGTAATTGGTATTGGTTGTAAAAGCAATACCAATAAGTTGTAACGGCATATAAACCCTTTATTTATTTATGAATCCCGCAATAAAAGATCTTTCAAATCAAGTGTTATAAGCTTTTCTTTTTTCAATGATCCTTTAATGCCCACTCTAATAATTCTCCAATCCACGTATCAAAATTTCTAAAAAGTAAAAATATAGCCAAATCTCTTCTGTTAGTGATCTTAAAAGGTTCACTGTAAAGAATCCTTTACACACTATGTGTTATGACTTCTTTGATATCATAAACAATAAACTAATTTTCCTAAGATAATCAAAATTCGTCATCACATATTAATTATTTTTTTTATATTAACAGCATCTTTAATTTTTATTCATATTCATCATTACTGTTAACAGGAATCTTTATCAGAACTATGTCATCTTATATTCTTGCAAATCTCAACCTCAACATGATAATTATTAACAAATCCTTATTTCAAAAAAAGTGATAAACCTTTATAATTCTATTTGACTTCAAAATTGTACTCACTTTTTGAATTGTGTTACTGGCTTGCTCTATTATTTATTATTATCATACAATATAATTTATCTTGATTAGTGATCCAAAATATTTTCCAACTCATGTTTTTTAACTTTTTTTATTTTAAAAATCATTTGTAATTTCGATAAATCAGGTTGGGAGTTGGGACAAGGGTCGGGCTTATAAGTTATTGATGTTACCAACCAAGGCTCTTCAGGACTCTTTGGTACATTCGAATTGTATAAATATCCTATTTTATTAAAATAAAGTCTAGTCATTTTCCTTTATTCCCACCCGAGTTATAATCAAGTCACACGTTAAGTTTTCAGATCGTAAATTTTAAGAGTATAAAAGTGAACTAAACTAAAAATTTTATTAAATTTAATTCGAACACTCATATGCAATTAGGCTTCTTCAGAAATTTAAGGTGGGACTCTGCTAGTAAAAAATTATTTTTTTTATCAAGTCGAGACCTCTTCATTAATTGTAGGGCTGGACTTATCGGACAAATCACTCATTTTTTTGAAAAACTGCCATAAACAGGTTCATTGCATGACGCTGACATATCTTATCGGTAAACTATTTCACTTATTAACAAAGAATGGGATCATTAAAATATAAAAGCAGTTTATTAATTTTTCAGTTAAATTTTTATAACCATCTTTGTTATAATATATATTTTCGATATAAATTGTCAAGAATATAGGATATCAGCCAAATATCAGTAGTGCCTTTATATTCGTATGACTTCTTGCAAGATGATATTTCAATTGTTAAGCTTCAATATCATTGATACACCTATTCAAAAATCAATAATTTCAATGGCATATTGCCCATATGGTCCCAATTTATTTGCTATAATTTAATTGTATAAAATTTAACTATTTATCAATATTATAATGTGTATGATGTAATGCATTTAAACATTCATAAAGTTCAATATAATATGTGTCATATTAAATTTGAAAAAAGAAACAATAAGTGATCAGGTTTACTTTATCTCAAGATACTTCTCAAAAGCTAAATAAATTTTATTAGATTATAAACAAATTATTATAAACGAATTGAATGGTAAAAAATAAAACAAGAAGAAAAAACAGTAACAACTTATTTTAATTATAAAATTTCAACCGAGGTTTTCATAAAAAAAACTATAATTCATGCATAAATAATACGATATAATATCACTTAATTTAAATAACTTAATAAAAAAAAATTATATAATGATAACCCATTAAAAGTGACAGCGATATAACTCTCCTCGAGAGTTGACACTATGAAGTTACAATAAAAAACGCTAAAACATGGCTTATCTTGAAATGGAAATTCGGAATATAGATTATGTAGAGTACTCCGGCAAACCAATCTACATTTGGGGTATAATTAGATATTATAAATAAAAATTTTCCATTAAATTTCAAAATGTCCATAAAAAAAACTTGTTGAGGGGGGGGGGGCATATATAATATTTTTATAAAAACGATAAATCTTTTTGGTTCATTATCTCGTCACGATTAAACAGATGTAAGGATTGATCAATTTTTAATTAAATTAAATAATTTCGTTATAAAACTTTTGCGATCATGTATTTTTTTTTAAGGATCTGACCAATCAGGAAAAATATGTATACTGGTAAATTACAACTAGATCACCTACACTATATAATATATTTCGCTATAATAAAATTTGCTTAAAAAAATTTCAAATATTTATATGGTGAGCCAAATATAGTAAACGCGATTCATACAATACATCCCTGAAGGAACACATATAATAATAAAAATGGTAAATTTTGAGTGTTTTTAAATATCATATATGTCCACTAGATAATTAGTAGAAAAATTTAAAATTTGGTTGTAAAGTATATTTAAAAAAATTTATAGGACGGATTTTATTTTTTTATAACTATAAATTTCTTTTTAAAGGACAGATTTTATTTTATAACTATAAATAAAATATTTAAAATAAATATATAGATTTTTATCTCTTAAATCTTTTGATTTATTTTTTGGCATAAAATTTTAAAAGTAAAAAAAGGAACGAAATTAATTTTATCCTAATGTTTGCGATGAACCCTGATTTTGGAAGAGCCACTTTTGAGAAGGAATGTCCTGACAAGTGTTGAAGAAAACGTCTTGGTTTGAACTCCTATTAAACATGTCTATGCAAAGGCCAGAAGATTTGTGTATGATAGGACCGTTCTAAATATGTTTAAAAAGGATGTTATTAGTATGGAACATTTAATAATATGCCATAATAATAAATAAATCCTTATAATTGTTTTTCAATTACACAGTTATATTCCTCGATTACAAATTTATAAACATAAATTCCAAAAAGATATTCTAGAATTACAAATTAATATTTAACAATTTTACAAAAATATTTGCCTATGTAGAGCAAAAAAGTATTTCAGAAAATTTTAAAAAAAAGTTGATTTAGGTCTAAAATTAAGGGATTTTGTAATATTCCCTAATTTAGGGATTTTATATAAATTTAGAAAAAAAATAAATAATGACTAAAACCCGACGAAATATCCAATTGTCAGTTATGCCGTATCCATCGCACTCCTTTACCACTACAGGGGAGTTGATGGTGGCCCCTTCCGTGCCTGTGGAGGCGCAATAATCTTCTATCCTAAGCCTATCGTCCAGGGCTAATGTAAATTGCTTTTGCAAGGAGAGGGAGGAATTATTTTTTAAAACAGTTGAGAATCAACTATTCGAAACATATTGAAATTGAAAATAAAGGTGTATGGAAATGGATTTTTATCTTTCCTCTTCTTATTTATTTATTCTCTCTTTCCCATCCCTTCCTTTCTTTTCTTCTTCCTTTCTTCCTTCCATCCTTTCTCACTTCCTAGTTAAATAGACCCTATAAAAAATATAGTAATATGGAAATATCGAGTTTTCATACCTCCTCGGCACTAAATTCTTGACATTGATAAAGACCCAAGTTTTGCTGCAATTTGAGGTCCCGACCGAGCATGTCAAAGCATATGCTGGTCTCTTCGTTCATAATCTATTTTGAAAATTTGACTCAAGTTTAATTTTGTGATAGTAAAAGAGAATCCCGGAAAAACCCCCGGACCCCCCCCCCCCCCCAGGGAAAAAAAACTATAAATAAGCTAAATTTTTTTAGGCCCTAATTCATTATTTAATGATTACTCATATACTCTCCATAAAAAATGCGTAAACAAGATAAAATGCTGATATTCAAATTGGTACTGGGAAAAAATACCCTAGATTTTTGTCAAAATTATTTGTTATATTAATGAATACAAAATTCATCCTTAATTATGATATTAAGTAGACTAAATTTGACAAAATTTTGTAATAAGAAATATTTATTTTGGTAAATCATGATTATGTATATGCAGATTTAATCATTTAGAATAATAATTATATGGGTTGACATTGAATATTGAAGGAAAATAGTTCTTATAAAATCTGGAAGGCTTCGCACCCCATCACGATATTCCTCGCAAAGTTTCTTTAACCGACTCTGGATATTGTAACTCTGCAATTTTGTCTTCTGTGTCCAACTAACTACACGCCATCGTTCAAGTTTGGTTTCATCGGTAGCCACTTCGCATTTTATTTTTTAAATCAATTCCCAGATTGATGGATGTTTATTCCCAACCAGATTAGAAAAACGATAATTCCAACCTTCGCATTGATTATATATACGTTCTTCGTGGGATAAAGTTTTCTGATTCACGTTCCAAGTTTCTGGAGGAAATCGAGGCTCAGTTAGACGTATCTGGGATTGAGAATTGCTTCTTGTGACCTCCCTTGATATAATTTTTATCGAAATAATCAAGAATATACTTAGTATTGCTCGGGGTAACCGATCTCAGGAATATCATGCCCATATCACATAAAGGAACAAATGCTAAGCCGCCCATCATGCCACAAAAGAAGCTTAGAGTTCATCGGTCCTTTATTGGCTTTTCAGATATAGCTTCTGAATTTTTCTATAGGTACTTTGACATAAATGGTAAAAGCATCCTTTGATTTTTTTTCCATGAGGTATTTTTTCCGGAGTTTTTTTCTCTATTCCCAGTAAAAGGTAAGAAAAAGAACCTAAGTTTTAAATAGGGAACGCGATATATATCGTTCATATTATTTGAGCTAATCAATTTACAAATCAACTCCTAATATTTAGGAAATATCTTGGTTGTTGCAAAATAAGATGTAGTTAAAAATGAATAGAGATTTAAATTTCATTTTCATTGAAAAATCTGCATTTCAAAAGTATAAATGTACCAGAAGCTATTGATTAAGATATAAGAAACTAAATTTAAATAATGATAAAATATAACTACCTTTCCGTATGCCTTAACATTTTCGTCGGGGATAAATTTTTCGGGGAAGACGTTATCCAAAAACCATTTAAAACTCTTGCATTTTAGTTTCCTCCTCAGGGCTACCCGTTCGGATATATCACCACACTCTTTATCCTTGACATAGCATTTTCATAGTTATTATTATTCATATATTATATAATTTATAATCATAAACAATTACATGGTTGTAAAATTGCATAATCGCTCATGGGCTTCTAACCACTCAACTTTAATAGGAGAACCATTTTTTTAAAAAAACGTAATGTCATCTGGTTATAAGAATTATTTTAATATATAGAAAGCAAATATTGGGTGTATTTTTGACCATAACAACATTTCAACTAAAAGTAGATTTAGAACAATATTATAATCCAAATGTATATCTCTTGAAAACTATTGGATTATAGAAGAAAGCTATGTAAGTTCATATATATAATAACGAGGTATCATGGGGAAAAAGGAAGATGGATAGAGAGATTAAAGAAAATAAGAAAAATTTAATATATTAAAAAATGCTGTAAAATGAAACATAATGCTTTTATAACCACACTTAATTATAAGTAGAAATAATTAGAGACCGGATGGCTTATCAACTAAAACTTTACTTGGTCAATTAAATCATTTTCTAAGACTACATTTATTTATCATTCATTCCTACAAAACCAATATAAAAAAAATAAGAAAATATGAATGAAAAATAATTACATTTACTCCTTTTATCTAAATACTAAAATTATGGTTTTTAGCTAATGATCTCCCAACCAGTTTCATTTGAAATATTTATTTATTTTCATTCAAAATAACTTCAAACAAACAGGATACAACAAAAGAAGGAATATACAGACAAAAATATCCCGAAAAGAAGTTAAACATCCTTTTTAAGACCTTTAAATCAACCCGATGAGTATAGAAGAGTCTTATGTAGTCGTCCATCCAGACGCGAGCCATCCTAAGGGAGTTTTTCCCGTGTGTGTCCTTCTTATCGGGCGGCCAGGTAAACGGATGTGTAGAGCGAAAAATGTGTCCGACGTGGGAGCAAGGCACGAACTCAAGTGATCCTCCGCACTGCCACACCTACAAAATCAAATGATAAATTGGGTTTTACTTTCATTTATTTATATCCAGCTTCCTTTAAAAATGTTCTCTCAAATATCCAATATGATTATAATTAGGGGTGTACCGATACCACTTTTTGGAGGCCGATCCGATCTGATATTCCCAATATTAAATTAACATCGGCCAATTACCGATCCGATATCATATCTAATTTTGTATTCTGTAAAGATACCAATGGTTTTAACTTTTAATATACTTTTAATTAGTATAACATTGATAATTTAACTACACCATAACTTATGTCATTTAAATATATTATAATGATCAGTTATAGTTTATATTCAATTCAATTGCAATTCTAAAAGTATATAAAATATTTTTTATTGTTAAATCATTTTTATATAATAAGTAATACATTAATCTCTATACATAATAAGTAATAAACAAATATATATATGAAATTTGAAATAAATATTTAAAATAATATTAACATTAATATATCAAAGATTTCTTTTTAGAAATACCAAAATTTCCAATTTACCAGAGGTCAGCCTGCGGCGATGGTAACTGTCAATATCACCAGCTTCACTAAAAACAGATTCTGAAGAGATTATAGCACACTTTTATAAACAGAATGTGCAAAAAAAATAACAATATGGCAGAATGTTTATTAATTAATTATTATTTAAAAAATATACATAAAAATGGATTTCGATTTTATTTATTAAAATAAATTATTTTAGATATAACTTTTTTTTAAAATTTTATTTTTGTTAAAGACGCCATTTTATATCGGATCGGAAAATTTTATAATATTGGATGATAACCGATATTTTAAAATGGGTGAAATATCGGCCCGATCCGATAAAAATATCGGTACATCCCTAATTATAATATAATCTACATAAATAATACATTGTGTTTTACTTTCATTTATTTCTAAACTATCTTCCTTAAAAATTTTTCTTTTAAAATTATAATCTAGAAAATACACTGAGTTTCCCCTTCATTTATTTCTAACTTTCCTTTTCAATTCTTCGTTTAAAATTTATATACTATTATAATATACTCAGAGGAAGACCCCCCCCCCCACCCCCCGTAGTAAAACTTTTTGAAAAAATGGTTTTCATGATTGCAAAGAATAAAATAGGATACATTCTATTTTAAATTTTAGCAAAAAGTTAAAATAATCGCTATTATTTGCTTAAAAATTAATCTAAAAAAAATCCGGGCCGGGCCTGAAAATATAAAACCCGGGCTGGGCCGAAAAAAATTTATAAAAAAAATCCTAAATGGACTGTGCAAATGGTACCTTTGCAGGTCCCTGATTTAAATATCTCTGTATTAATATTTTATCTCGGGAAAATTTAAAGTATATTTTCTTACATTTTTTAAAATCTTAAACGCTGATGGATAAAAGAAAATTTTATCAACCAAAAAATTACACTAATTTATCCGAATAATAATCAGGGGCGTCGCTAGATAGATACTCTGGTGTTAAAGCACCCCTCTTTTCAAAATTAGCACCAATTTTGGAAAAAAATGGACTCGCCCTAATTTTTAAACAAATAGGACACTAGGGCTTATTTTAAATAAATATTATCTTCCTTTTGGTATTAAATTATAAGAAGTCTACAAATGACAAAATTTTCAGGCCCGGCTTTAATTTTTTAAAGGTTACCGGCCAGGCCAGGTTTTTCAATTTTTTTAGATACAAGTAATTGAAATAATATATGTTGTAACACCAAAATAAACAACTATTTATAATGAATTTTACTATTAGGCATAGAATAACAATTGAAACGCTCAGAATTTTTTAATTAAAAATACTTAAAGCTAAGGATTTATACTGAATTTCACAGATAATTTTCTGAAAATCAAAGACAAATTTGCAAAGTAAAAATTTTCATTTTCTCAGATTTTTTGGTATTAAGTATTTTATTTTGATATTAAAGTTAATCAAATGAATTTTTGAGTTTTAATATTATAGTTTTCGGGTCTAGGCAATGGGAGGAGGGGGGGGGGGTGTTATAATTTTTTAAATATAATAGACATGTATTGTTGTTAAATGGTTCGATTTTTAAAAACAACAAACTCAATATTTTAGCCAAATAAGACACAAGCCTCGAGATCTTGTTAATAGATTTCCAAGCATTTCTACCTTCTATGAGCAAAATCTCTAGGCGTGCCTAATACTCTTAGCTAAAATATTGGGGTAGCCGTTTTTAAAATAATTGAGCCATTTAACAACACTATTAACATGGGTATCAAATGAAAGCTAACAAAAAGATAAACTGATTACATTCTCAATGTCAACAGGATATTTGTTGGAGGGGGTGGGGGTTATATTTCTTAATATTATGTAGACATGGGTGAAAACTAATAAGGAGATTAATTAATTACATTGATTCTCACTCTATGTCTTTGAAGTAGGTAGGGGGGGGGTGTTGAAAATTTCCTAGTATATTATCTCAACATGGGTATCATATAAAAATATCAATTGATTATAATGATACTCACTTCTTCAGTGGGTATAGTAGGGATGGGTGGTTAAAAATATCCTAGCATAATATATGATTATGTAATCAAATGAAAATTTATAGAGGTCGATTGATTACATTGATACGCACCACTCTAAGTCTTCAGAGTGAGTGCGGAGGGTAAAAAAAATATTTAAAAGATCAATTTATTAAATGGATAATCATAACTCAGTTATTCATTCAGAATAGGATGGAGAATTGTAACTTTTACTCATCACTATGTCTTTAGGAGCATTCTGACTTTCTAACATTTAAAATGTGGGAATAATTTCTACCTTTTTATATTATGTTTAAACTATTAACTATTATTTTAGAAATTAAACTTAAAAATATGTTAACGATATTGCTTTTCACAAATAATAATAATAATTTGTTAGCCAAAAATTTAAAAGCTGATAAAAATAAACAAAAAGACTTGTTGAATTTATTTATCTTTTATATGAATTGCGCCGTATATATAGAAAATTAAAATTATGAAAAAAAGGGAAATTTATTTTTCATGGATGTAAAATATTCTAATTTTTTTACGTTCAATTTTCATATCTTTCAAAATAGGTTTTAGAAGTAAATATATTAACTTGAAAACTTTACCTCATTTTTATTTATCCAAAACCATATTTACCAAACAAAATTTTTTTAAAAGAAACCGTCGTCATCGATAGTTTTTATTTAGAGGAGCCGCAAGGACTACGATAACCGAGGGAAGGGTTATGATGGTGATTGAAATCAGCGGGTGCAGAAGTCCACGAGAACGGGACCATTCTTTTTCTCAATTATACCAAGAAAAATTATTTCTGAGCTATTAAATTATTATTTCGGACTTTATACATTCTTCTGAGCGATTCACTTTATAATCTTAGAGTTTAAGTTTTATACCTGAGCAATTAAGTTTTTCATCTGTGCATTGTTCAAGATTCTTTATATTTATAACTAGCTGATAGCCCGTCAAGAACAGGATTGCCAGGTCAAAATTTTTAAATGGAGGGAGAAATTTGATATTTTGCGGGTTAAATATGAAAATTGCGGTAGAAATATAGAAATTACTAAAAAAATAAATTGCGATCCGAAGGTCCACAAAGTGCCTGCCTTCGGCCAAGATTGTGAATTACCTTAGTTATTCCCCTATTAATTCTTATAATTACTTTATATACATTTTAACAAAGTCGGTCACGTTTTATAATTTCAAAGATAATATTTTATACTTAGTTTTAATTTATACTTCTTTGTCTTGGAGGTACTATATTTATATTATATATAAATTTAAACGCGATACGTGATATAAGCGCCTAGCCCATTAAGATACACAAACATACATGGAAATGATAAAATATGAATGATGTTAATTACGTGATACGTGATATATAGCGCATATGCCCTCAGACGTTGAATTAACAACAGAACTACGCTAGGTTTTCCTCATTTTCATATAATTGGAACATAATTTATTTGGGGTGTAAAGTTAAAAATATGAGGACTCTACACGTTTGTGGGAAAGCCGCACGTACTTGTACGCGCAACATTTCGAAAAATGTTACAGACGTTCATATTTAAGGAAAAAGGGCGGGGCAGAAAAAAACAGCCTATGCCCAAGAACTGCAGTATAAGTTATTTACTTTAAAGGTGGGTTGTGGCTGATTTTAAATGTAAGTTTATTAGTTAAAGCTGTGAATCGTTACTATCATAAATTAAAATTTAAAGAGCATACCAATTTAATTTCAGTTTGTCCTGAAAAGGTTTAGAAAATACTAGTTGAGATTAACGCTATAAATTTTAATCAAGCCGAGAGATTTTTCATTTATAATATCTATCCTTAACAGGGTTTCGAACCGTTTTGTATAACGGTTCGGTTCGTTCCGGTTTTTAGTTTAAAATTTTATAAAGGTTTTGTTCCATTTCGGTTTTTTTAAAAAAAATCATATCGGTTCGGTTCGGTTTATAATTTATAACGGTTCTTTTCGGTTTGTTCCGGTTTTTATAAATTTAATTTTAAAAAAAATTAATCATTAACCATGTATATATTAATTTTAGAGAAAAATCTTTTTAGTATATAATTTCTTATTTAATTTATCCATGATAATCTAATAAATATTTTTATTAAATTTAGGAAATATAAATTACACAAATTAGTTTTTTTTTATTTCATAAATAAATAAGATAAAAACAAACATGCGTAAATACAATAATGAATAAAATAATATGTATACTATACTATTTAGGTTTAAAAAGAGAATTCGAACGGATAACTAAATATTTTCTAATATTTCAGGATTTAATTTAGTTCTCTGCGCAGAGAGTATAAACTTAAGGCTTGAAAATGCTCTTTATACGGAGACCTGCATAGCTGGAACTGCTAGCACAGTTATAGCTAACTTATAAAGTTCTGGCATACTATTCTTTACATTTTCCCAATAATTCGAAAGATTAGTATCTTTTTCTAATCTCTCTATATTATCAAATGACTGAATTATATATTCTATT